AAGTATGATTGGACAAAGGGAGTATAATTTCATGGCCATATACCAGGGGGAATTTAGCAAGGTCTGATTGCTCACATTCTTCTCTGTGTCCCTGTGTCTTCAAGATGAGGACATTTCATTCTGCCAGTTATATGGTGTGCACCTCTTGGAATGAGGATCTTATGTTCTACTTTAGAGGAAACTCAGAATTCCTTTAAGGCCTGTTTCAGGGGAAAAGGGGAGGAGAAGGTCAAAGAGACCTTCCTGCCACTGCTGTTTTCTCAAATGCTAAGGTCCCATATTTTGGAGGTAGTGCATCCTAAACTCCATCAGGACTAACTTAAAGAGCAGGTTAAAATAATTAAACTGTAGCTGAGTCATAAATAAAATAATTAAATTATAGCTGAGCCATCTTGAAAGGAATAGGGGAATATCAGAATGAAAGAGAGCACAGGAAGAATATCCCAAATAGTGTAAGAAATTAAAAACTTAAGGTAAAGCAATGTTTATGGATGAGCACCTGGCAAAGATGCTGACTTTCACCAGGTTTCCAGGGCACAGACCTTAGAAACATCTGGAATCTCATAAGCATTACTGTCCAGCCAGGTCTTATTAGATTATGAATGAGGCCCTAAATATCTTGGAATATTGGGAAATCAGAGAAAATCATAAGGCTGATATGTAAGGCATTATGGAGAAACTTAAAAGGCAGCTAGAAGAGTTTAGATTTAATATATATTCTGGGAAGTGTTTTGATTAAAACAAGAGAAAAAGAAAACCTAAACTGTATTAATAGTGTTAGAATCAGAGAAGAAGGGACACATTAGGGAAAAAAAAATGAACATTCGATTCGTTTTGAAAGGAAGAATAGGGGAAGAGATATTTATTTTATTACATCTAACAATTCAAAGAAGGAAAAAGTACTGCTAAGGCATTGAGCCTGGAGATGAGCACATGTTGGTGATCTAGACAGAACTACGGAACACGGCAATGAGCATAAAAGAGAAAGGTCAGAGCCAGAGATGGATAATCTGGAAAGTTCTGCATAAGAAGAATCATTCAAGTCAAAGGGTAACAGAATCACTAAGCCAAGTAGAAAGCAGTGAGGCTGGAGAAAGCTAAGGCCATGGCTCTGGGGAAGCTCCCCTGAACCAAATGCCCTTTCCTGCCACCTGTTTTTGTAAATACAGTTTTAGTCCACCACAGCCTTGATCCTTCATTTACATATTGTTTATAGTTGCTCTTATGCTCCAAGGGAAGAGTTGAGTAGCTGACACAGAAACCAAATGGCTTGCAAAACCTAAGTATCTCGCCCTCTATAGAAAAAACTTGCCAACCCCAGATAAAAGAGGAAGAGCTCCCAGAAAAGATATGCCAAAAAGGAAGTCTGAACCCAAGAAAGCATAGCTGCAAGGAAGTCAAGAGAGAATATTTTAAAGGAGTGGGTGAAAAGAAAGGATACAGTGGATGTGGGGAGGATGAGGCTTGGGGGAAAAAATCTTTGAACGTATGACTAGCAAGTAATTATTTGCCATTCCGAAATATCAATTTCTAGATGGACCAAACCTAACACAAAATACTCAACAGATGTATTTCTTTCTCACTTCCTTCCTTCTTTTCTTCCTTTTTTAGCATTAAAACAAATCTATTTCTTTCTGCCTTACTTCCTTATTTTCTTTCTTTTTTAGTATTAAAACAGTATTAAAACATTTCTTTTTTCTTTAGTAGTAAACATTATTTCTTTTCTTCCTTCTTTAATATTAAACGTGTAGCACTGATTTAGGTGCTATTGAAAGATACCTAAAGACAAGAGGCACACCCATAGAAAGTCATGTAGTAAAATAGTACTAGGTCGTAACAAGACAATATATGTGAAAATGTAGCACGCTATATGAAATTAAAGAATTTTGCATTGAGGCAATACATTATCGCATACCATATACATGGTTTGGACTGAGTGCTTTGCATTCAGTGGCTATTGTCAATAAAATGTCAAAGCAGGCTTTGAGAAATTTGGAATTATAGTATAATTTGGACAGCACAAACAAATTCTTACTATCTTTGTGACCTTGGGACAAGTTACTTAATTTCTCTTCATTTTACTTTGTTCATTTGAAAAACTGGTAAAATCATCACCCATTCCATAGTACTATCTCTCATATTCACCCTGGCATCTGCATTTCCATTGCATGATTTACAGAGCTGTATATTATTCATGCTCTGTTGATTGTCTAGCTTCATCTCCCACCTTCCTCAAGGCAGACTCACTTCAGCCACATGAGCACTGCTTGTCTTTGCAACATTTCACCAGTTCTTGTGTCTTCCTGGAAAGTACTCCCCACCTTGATCTTGTCAATGCTGATAAATTTCTACACCTTCTTAAAGACTTGGCTGAAACATGATCTGCTTTGTGACTTATCCATGTTCCCTTGAAAAATTTAAAGCATCATCCTCTGCATTTCCACAGTGCCTCATACTTAAAGCACTTAGACTTAAGGTGAGCAAATAATTTATCATCTTAACTGAGACACTTTTAAAAGTGAAAGAGGATGACATTAGTAAATACACCAGGGCAACAGACCTAAACCAGGACTGTCCCAGACAAACTCAGATCCATAGTCACTCACCTTTTCCTAATGTTGTGGTAATAGGTAATAATTTTTTACTTGTCTGTCATCTCCTCCCCACCCCCAACAAAATATACACACGTATGCACAATCCTTAAATCCCTGGAAGGGGATGGCCTCAGCGCCTGGTATGATGACTGACACATAGGAAGCTGTTGGTTTGTCAATTAATTTATTGATTAAATCATGACAATTTTATTGGAAGAGAACATTATAGTATAGAAAAAGAAAAGGAGGTGGGAGGGTACCTTTACAAGCAAATAAACTCCCCTGAGTAGAACAGATGTTTGGGGATTGGAACATAATTTGGGAAAAGATTGTAGAACTCTTGATCCTCAATCAGGATAAGGATTTTTAACAGTGGAGGAAGGAAAAGGTTAAAAAACGGAATAGTATGAGGATAACGGATAATTTTATGCAAGATGAATTGAAGTGAGTGGAAGGAAGAGGGAACTGCAGAGACTATTTGGATAAAATATTAATTATGAAAGCCTGGATTAGGAATATTTGCCATTTTACATTTTATGCTTGAGGGGAAAGTCAAGACCCTTTAGGCTGCAAGTAACAGAAATCCAAATTAGCCTGGTTTAATCTAAAAGGGGAAATTGGCTGGGTGCGATGGCTCAGGCCTGTAATTCCAGCACTTGGGAGGCTGATGTAGAAGAGTCGCTTGAGGGCAGGCATTTGAGGCCAGACTGAGCAACAGAGCAAGACCCCATCTCTACAAAAAAAACAAGAAAGAATTAGCTGGGTATGGTGATGCACACCTTAGACCCAGCTACTTGGGAAGCTGATGGTGGAGAATCACTTGAGTCCAGGAGTTTGGGGCTGCAATGAACTATAATCATGCCACTGAACTCCAGCCTGAGTGACAAAGTGAGACCCTGTCTCAAAAGAAATTAAAAGGGGGTAGAAGGACTGAATTTATCAACTCAGCAAGCATAAATATGTAGGCATTGCTAGATCCAGGTTCTCAAACAGTGTTATCTCATTAGAAATCTTCTCTCTTGCTTCTTATTGTATCAGATTCATTCTTAGTCAATTTCTCCCCAAAATGGCCTTCAGCAACTTTCAGCCTACTTTCTACCAGCATTAACAACCCCAGTAGAAAGAGAACACTGCTTTGACAACAATTCTAGCAAAAATCCTAAACAAGTTTCTCATTGGATACCTGCCCATTCCTGAACCAGTCACTGTGATGCAAGGGGTTATGGTCTGATTGGCCAGGCCTTGGTTATGTGCCCACTCCAGATGACAGAGTCAGCTTCACCAAAACCAAATAATCTAAGTGTGTGGGGCGGGGGTGTGGAGGGAGGATTGAGAGGATGGAGGAGTGAGGGACACAGATAGAAGCAGGGATATCTTGCTAAAGGAAAACTAACTTGTTTTGAAAAGAAAGAAAATGGGTATTAGGAAGCAAAACCAATAATGTTCTCCACATAAAGTCTATGGTGTTATTTCTTAGGTTTGAAGATAACAGTGAGCTCCTTTAGATCATCAAAATCAAATCACAGAAAAAAAAATTAAGAGGAACATAAAAGTAATGATATTCCAAATGAGCAAGAATAAAAAAATATATTTGTTTTGAAGTATTTTAGATTGCATTTATGCAAGATATTTAAAATATAAGAGCTAAAATATAATTTGTTACCTTTAACCTTATAAATATGTTGTTTATTATAATAGTAGACATCTCATGCTTATTATGTATAGAAAACAGAAATTATTATTTCACCTTTCCATCCAAACTACAAATGCAACAGTATAGAAATGTTTGATTACTGATCTTTGAGAAAGTCATTATGGAGCCAGAGGAGGGTTGAAAGGACAATTTAAATGGCCCAATTTTTGTTGAATTCTATATATAGTTTTATTGTGGAACCAATTAATAAAACTCTTCAGTTTGATATGACAAGGTCTGTGGATGTAAGAAACATTCATAAATTTGTTTGTAGAATTGATAGCATAATTCTGGAAAAACTACAAATGTGAATTTTCCCATAGTACAATTTTAGTGTTCCTAGTTGTCTAGATTAAAAAAAAAATTTAGAAATAATGTCTATTATTATTAAATTAGAAAAAGAAACAAAAAACTTTTCGTTAAGAGAAAGAAGATTTATGACATACAGGGAAACTAGCACTGACCTTTGAAGTGTTGTCACTGTGGTCCTCACAAGTTTTTGTTGTTGTTGCTTTTGTTTATTTTTTCCATAAATATCCGTGGATATCTCAGAAACAATATTGGGTTGGATGGACCATTGATCTGAAATAATGTAATTCTCTTATGAGGTAAATATTAATAAAAACCATTTCCACAGCATCATGCTTGTGTAAGTGGTAAGAATTTAGTCATAGTCATTGATACCTTACTAAATCATTTTGATTCCTTTCAAGAACGTACCTTTCAAGAACAAGTTTCTGACACAGAAAATAACCTGAACCAAGAATCCAGCTTGGTGGAAGCCATCTTTAAAGTATTGTACCATTGCAGTTTTTCTCCACAAACGTTTGGAAATGTTTTTGTGAGCTACATGGAGGAAGAGCAGTTATGGGACTTTTTGTATAACATCCCAGGTATGAGACATTTACTATTTGTAAAAGAAATGTTCTATAGATACTTATATATGACTTTAAAGATGTTTAGAAGTTGTATTGATATTGGTTTTGCTGAATCTGTTGTTTGTAAAAGTTTACCTTACATTTTTTCAGTATAACGCCTTCTGTTGGAAATCATTAATTGTTAGTTCCTGTAAAATTACATATACTTTGGGACATGATGGAAGGAAGATTGAAAGGAAAATATTTTCTTTTTTTAATGATTAGGGAAAGTTCTATCATAAAAATTTATTTTAATATTTATCACAGACTATGTTTTGCTATTGAGCATATAAGATATTAGTAAGATGTGAAAAGTATTTTGTGATTCTTGGGTGCTTTTATTCAGCAACTTAATGTACAGCACTATTGGTCAATTTCTTCAAACGTATAAGACATTTATGATTATGACCATAGTGTGTCTCTCTACAGGCAAGCATGTCCTATGATCCCTTTGGAGAGAATATATTTTTCCCATCTGTATTATTCTTCTTCCTACAGCTAGAAAGGATAATAAAGACAATACAAGTTGTATATTTGAACAGGAGATTTTGATGGGCTGCCTGTTATCTGACCAGTGTCACATTGTCTCATCCTTAATATTCTGCCTTTAAATTTTCATATTTAATGTCTTGGGAAAACAAAGGATGAAAACTTAAACAATGATGATGATATTATTATTATCCTACTATTCCAATAGTGTTTTCACAGTTTACATTTAGTTTTCAACCTATAAACTTTCTTATATCCTGCTTTGGAACCTGAGTTTTCATTAAATATTTCCTAGGCTCCATATAAAAGATCCAACTAGTTCATAATCATGGTTTCATTCCTCCTAGACTTTTTGACTATCCTCCCGATATTACTTGAATATTATTCTTGCTGTTTTAAAGTCATTATGTTTCATTTTCTCTTGGTCATTATCCCTATGAAATAGCAATAGATAACTTCATGATATGATTTTCAAAATTCAAATCTGTCATTTAAAGTTTCTGTAATAATGATCTCCTTTTAAAGTGTTATCTCCTAGTTTCCATGCATTCCCTTATTGCTTCTTGCTCCCCCAAAGGAAGGGCATATTTCTAGGTAAAAGGATGGAATTAGGAGCTTGTGTTTCTGATGTTGTCTTCACTGAATTGAAAGAAAAAAGTCCTTGAAATTCCTACCACCCTCTGCTGTTTTTAGTTGTTTCTGGCGAAGTAAGAGCTGGATTTTCTCACAAGATTATAAAGAATCTATGACCCTCATGCTTCAACCTCTGTCCTTCAGTTATTAGGTTCTTGAACCATCTTTGACACTCAGCACAAAACTATACTGAAAATGACCTAGAAGATATTAATGGATTTCAGGTGCTGCTGAGGGAAAATGAAACTGTTTCTTGCTCCTAATTTGACTTATCTCCAACTGCATATTGAGAAAACCCTCCTCCAAATGGCCAGACAAGTCTCTGGAAACAGACGTTGCACATATTCCGAGTCTGAATTATGTGTGGAAGCTCAAAGGGGCAGAACTTCAAATGGGTGAAACTCCTCTATCCTTTGTACAAGTTGTTGCTCCATAAACATTAAATGTTCTCTGGAAACTGATGCCTGAAGTGGTCATGAGGGTCTGAACATTTATCTTTTCTCTCCTATTTTAGTCTTTGAAAAGGTCTTTTTCTTTCTTCTCTTAGTAATCAAGGTTATTTTGAAAGTCCTAATAAGATAATACAAGGTACCAATTCATAACAAAATAAGCCTTTTACTATGACTTTTGTTTCATTTGAAAACATAACATGTTTACAAGAAATATAGCTGAGACATAGTCATAAACCCATAATATTTATATTTTATTAATAATAGATCTATGCTTCAGTAAATATAATTAACCTACCCAGCTTAACTAAAGTACATCTTTTTAAAACTTCACAGCTGGAGTTTCCTCCTGCTAAATCACTATAATTTCAGCATGGCTTACCTATAAAGCATCACAGTCTTATCATTTTAGGGTAAAAAGACAAAGATTAAATGGTCAGTATCTTCATCTTATTGTTGAGTAAACAGAAAGCAGAGATATTAAGAGAGTTTCCTAAGATTGTCCTCCAATTAAGTTGGACAGACTTAGCACAGGAAACCAGATTGCCTGTCCCCTAAGTCAGCAGTCCCCAGCCTCTTTGGCACCAGGGACCAGGTTCATGGAAGACAATTTTTCCACCAGGAGTGGTACAGTTTTGGGATGAAACTGTTCCAGCTCAGATCATCAGGCATTGGTTAGAGTCTCATAAGGAGCAAACAACCTAGTTTCCTCGCATGCGCAGTTCACAATAGAGTTCACGGTCCTATGAGAATCTAAAGCCACTAATGATTGACAGAAGCTCAAACGATAATACTCACCCACCTGCTGCTCACCTCCTGCTGTGTGGCCTAGTTCCTAACTGGTCACAAACTGGTACTGGTCTGCAATCTGGAGGTTGGGGACCCCATCCTAGGCCATGTTATTTCTCATTTTTTTTCTATGAGACTAAATTTTTTGAGACACTAACTTTATAAACATTTGAATTCAGAAATGAATTATACAGTCTGATTTTATAATTGGAATTCTATCTAACACATAATTCCTTAGGGTGGACATGAGCCAGGGAGGGAAGACAAGAATGAAAATACCCACTTAAGATTACTGTAAAAGCTATAAATACAAAAAATAATTAAGTTAGGGACCTAATGTGGGCGTTTCTAAGGCCAATGTACTCTATAAGAAATAAATTTGTGAGCAATCATTGGACACCTATGTTTTCAAAGTAAATCAAGCATTTTTCAGTTAGACAAATGAAAATGTCCAAGCGTAGGTTACTTCAGCTGGTCTTTCAGACAATGTCAAAACAGGCTTGTAAATGAGGCAAATACTGTCAAAAATGCCCCATCTAATATGATAGTAATATACTCAACAAATATTGTTTACTTGGTGCCTCGATATGGCATTGAGCTTACTTTTGTTTTCTGAATCAGTTTTCTTAACTCTCTCACAAACTTTGGGAAAAAAGCTTTCAATAATATAGGAAAATTTCTCAATTAAAGGTTGAGATCCAGGGTTTCCACTTTGGTTCTCTACTCCTCCTCAGCCTCATAAAGGCATTTAAGAAGAGTTGTTTAGAGAGCATATATGTGCTGCTAAATTGTCTTCTTGTTGCCAAAATTAGTTGACGGTATCTTATCTTCCTATTAGGCACAGTGATTGGCTCTATCACCTACATAAATACCTGCAGCATAGTGTAGGCAGATTTTAAATGTAACCTTTCCATACTGAAAGGCTGTCTGTTCTGTGTGGTAACTAACCATTTATTCTGAGCCTTTTGTCGCCATTCAGTTTGTTTGCAATACACTTTTTCTTTTTTTGAGACGGAGTCTCACTCTGTAGCCCAGGCTGGAGCACAATAGTGCGATCTTGGCTCATTGCAACCTCTGCCTCCTGAGTTCAAGTGATTCTCCTGTCTCAGCCTCCCAAGCAGCTGGGACTACAGGCACACACCACCACACCTGGTTAATTTTTGTATTTTTAGTAGAGACAGGGTTTCACTATATTGGCCAGGCTAGTCTCAAACTCCTGACTTCGTGATTCGTCCACCTCAGCCTCCCAAAGTGCTGAAATTACAGGCGTTTGCAGTTCACTTTAAAAAATGTCTTAAAATATTTTATTGAGTGAATATAATAAAATTCACTTATATCAAGTGAAGAGTTCAGTAAGTTTGCTCAATGTATAAATCTGTGTAACAACCACAATAAAGATATGGGATATTTTCTGTTATCTTCAAAGGTTCTTTCATTCCCCCTTTGCAGTCGGTTCACCTTTCAACTCTCAGCCCCAGGAAGACACTGACCTGCTTTTTGTCATGAGAGTTTACTTCTGGTATTTTACAATCTCATATAAATAGAAATCTATGTATTCTTTTGTGTCTAGCTTCTTTTGCTCAGCTTAATGTTTTTGAGAATTTTATGTTTATCGTTAGTTTATTTCTTCTCATTGCGGAGCAGTATTTCACTGAGTAGTATTTTTTTTAATCCACTTACCAGTTGGATAGACATTTTGATTATTTCTAGTTTTTGGCTACAGTGATTAAAGCTGCTATGAATACTAGTGGATAAGTCTTTGTGGTCAGGCCTGGTGGCTCATGCTTGTAATCCTAGCACTTTGGGAGGCCGAAACAGGTGGATCACTTGAAGTTGGGAGTTCGAGACCAGCCTGACTCCATTAACATGGTGAAACCCCATCTCAATAATTTAAAAAAAAAAAAAGTTTTTGTGTGACTACAGTCATCCCTCAGTATATGTGAGGAATTCATTCTAGGAACCATTCCCCTTAATAACAAAAATCCATATACTCAACATACACTTAACTCCCGCAGTCAGCCCCACAGAACCTGCATATATGCAGGTTTTGCATTCTGCAAATATGGTATTTTCAATCCACATTTGATTGAAAAAAATCTCCATATAAGTGGACCTGTGCAGTCCAAACCCATGTTGTTCAAAGGTCAACTATTTATGTTTTCATTTTCACTAAGTACTTAGAAGTGGAAATGCTAGGTGATATTATAAGTACATTTTTAACTTCATAAGAAACTACTAGTGGCTCACGCCTGTAATCCCAACACTTTGGGAGTCTGAGGCAGGCCAGTCATGAGGTCAGGAGATCAAGACCCCCCCAGCCAACATGGTGAAACCCTGTCTCTACTAAAAATACAAAAATTAGCTGGGTGTGGTGGCTCATGCCTGTAACTGCAGCTACTTGGGAGGCTGAGGCACGAGAATCCCTTGAATCTAGGAGGAGGAGGTTGCAGTGAGCTGAGATCATGCCACTGCATGCACTCCAGCCTGGCGACAGAGTGAGACACTGTTTCAAAAGAGGAAGAAGAAGAAGAAGAAGAAACTGTAAAACTGTTTCACAAAGTAGTCATATATCTTTATATTCTGCCCAATAATGTATAAAAATTTTGTTTGCTCCAG